GTCGCAGGATGGAAGCTGTTCCAAGTGAAGCTGCCTTTTGCAATGGACTGGTGGTGATTTGGTCAATGCTGATGGTCTTCAAGTGGTGCTCCAGACATTTTGGGATTGCACTCAAGGCCAAAAACATCTGGAGCACCACTTGAACAATTATTATCGTTATTGTTATTATTTCAGATTTTGAAACAAAAAGTCAAATGTATATTGCCCAGAACAATGAAATAGCTTTAATGGGACTTTTATTTGGTGATTTAATTTGTACTTGAAGTAATGGCAATGAAAAAGAAGAAAAGGCAGTGGTGAAATGAATAAAAAAATAAGATTTAAGATGACCGGAAATGAGTTTAAATACTAGCAGAAATTGGACAAGTGCTGGAATACACATAGCAAAGTTTTATATATGGGGATTATAACGTCTTGGAGATGTAAAAGAAGAAATTGGCCAGATTTTTGATGTAGGTGCTTTTACATATGATAGCTCAATTCATATGCATGAAAACTAGGCACAGACATAACAGATATCTTGCATGCTACTTTGTCCATTTCAGTGGGACTTGTTGTATAAGAGAATATTTAAGTGTAGTATATCTATAATATAGAAATACTTAATTTTTCTGCACCTATTTCCTTTTCCCGTTACTGTATTTTTGACTAATTTCCAGGCAGAAACACTTGATCGTCTACGTAAGTGTATCAGTGAGTTTTTCTAACTTTAACGCTTATAAACACATTTTTTCTGTTTACTTCCATTAGGGAATAGCATAATTCTATCCATTTGCTGTCTCAAGGCTGTTGAAGCAGGAATGGCAAGATGTTTTACTGTTTGAGGTTGGAAAGTACAGATTCATCTGGGTAAATTCTGCTTCTGTACTCTGATCTTTTGTCCAGCAAAATGGATACACTAATGCTAGATAACAACTGCATTTCTTATCAGCGTGAGCTTCAAAAGACCATGGAAATCACACTCTATAGCTTTTTTTAATATTAAAATTTTAAAATGCATCCATAAAATATATATAGTTTCTACCAAAGCAGTAGAGTTATCCCTTTGAGTAGGTAAAGTGGGCAAATGCCTTGGGCTACAAATCCTATGTAGGGAGAATTATCAGTGCTATTTTGATGGACTGTGCAAGACATTCCATGCAGCCTGGTTGGTTCTTCTTACTCCAAGCTGCCTGAAGGCACTATCTGATCCCTAGCTGAAAGCATCCTTGTGACGTGGGAAATTCAGAAGTATAGAGCACAACATTGAGGAGAAGAATCATGTTTATTGCAACCATCATAGGGTGTCTGCTTTACAAGAACGACAGATCTTGGACAATGGGAAAGCAAAGATTTTGATAGAAGTTGAGTTGCAAGTGGTCCTTGGGATCTGATTTGCTGGCCAGTTTGGGGAAGCTAGGCAGGTCTTTGTCTGTGTTGTTGTTGTTCAGTCGTTAAGTCGTGTCCGACTCTTCGTGACCCCATGAACCCTATCGCGC